GATGAGTCTAAATGGCCTAGAATAAGCTTAGAAAAAAAAAAAAAATGTCAACCTTTACACAATTATTTAACAAATACAAAAAATTAAGAATTTATATGGCTCTTAATGGTTAGGCACATTAAAATAACTGTGAAACTCGTCTATATTATCGTTTACACATAATATTTTACCTTGAAACTAGGATACAGAAGCGTTTTAKTTGTTCTCAAATTTGTCCCTTTTGAATAACCGTTCCAATGATTTCCAGCTACTTCGATCTCGTCACCTACTTCTAGATCCATCTCATCCGGTCCGTCTGCTTTATGAGATATTAAAGCTACATTCAGTCTATGAACTTGACCACTAAAATAAAATGTATCGTCTAAAGAAGTAAACTTAGCTGATGCATCTGGTTGGAGACTGTTCATAATTTCATAAGCTAACCGGCATACCTGCAATAAAAACACAATTTATCGAAAATAAATTTAAGTATATACTAATTTTATTTAACGCTTTTTTAAATATTTAATTGGTCGATATTGACGTTTAATAAATTATATAAAAATATGAGATAAGCAACTTTTTTCTTTATCTTACTGAATTCAATTATATGTAGAGAAGCTTGTAAGTTGTAAGTACCTCTAGAGATCAAAAAATGTAATTTTAAGAAATTTAAATTGAAAGTTTTTTTTATATTTTTAATAAGAGTGATATAATATGGTATAACTAAAGAAAATTATAATATATTTCAGAGCTCAATGCTTTTAAATTTAATTGTATTTCTGTTTAAAAATATGAAAGTTGTATATTTAATTATATATCGACATGTAGTATGTTGTGACATGCATGTTTGTTTGATACTGCAATGCCACGAATCACGATGGTCTGATTTAAACAAGTATTCATGTGAGTGATATACAGAGTGTACTGTGTATATTTACTCATTGTGATATCTTACGAAAAAATGTAGATATCAAAATTCTGGTTTTGTCACAAGACTTTATTTTTCTAAACATTCTGAGATTTCAAAATTTTACATTCATTAATTTCCTAATTTTAAATATTTTTTCTAGTGTTGAAGAAACAAAAATTATTATAACCAGACACACTGAAAGTGTTCGGTCGGCTGTACGAAGAAGCGTGTGGCGCAGCAGGTCATATATTTAATAATACTATGATGGTGTTTAATAATTCGAAATTTTTCTCGAAAYTAAAAAAAATTAAAAATCAGGAAACTAACGAAAATACAATTTTTAAACGTCAATAAACTCTACAAAATGGCTATAGTGAATTATTTTGGAAATAATTAAATAAAAAAAAAATATTTGTATTTTTTTACCAAACCTTTAAAATAAATTAAAATAATATGATATAATTGTAGTTCTTATCCCTGTAATAAAACCAGAATTTCGATATCTCCATTATTTCGGAAGAAATCGCAATGGATAAATCCTCGTGGGACACCAGTATTTATATACTTATATGTTACATACCAATCAGMAAAAGCTCTACAAATTTACATGAATTCATGAATTATAACCATATTAAGATTTTTCATAATTCAGAACCAGCTGGTTTTACATATATGAATATATGATGAATACCGAAGCAAAGTATCGTGGAATATAGGGATGATGCCGTATTTTGTTCAATTCCATATAGGTATATAATATGATAT